TGCCCATCTGCTAAGCCAGAGAGAAAAATTACTATACTTTGAATTTTATTACTTCCTTTTTCCAACTCTGATCCCATTCTTTTGTGTTGCTACTGGGAATTGAACTCAGGACCTTGTGCTTGTGAGGCAGGCGACAGAACCACTGAGCTAAATCCTGGGCCCTCTGATCCCATTCTTTCTTTTTTTTTTTTTTTTGTGGGATCAGGCTTTAATGAATTTAAACATAAGGCACATGTCCCCAGATGTACATAAATTACAATTGCTTTTTGCCTTTTTTCATCTCTTAATCCTTTGGACAGGAATGAGAAAATGTTTGGTCTCTCTCATTTTTTTTTTTTTTTTTGGGGTTTGTTTTTTGTTTTTTTTGGTTTTTATGAGACAGGGTCTCACTATACAGTTCAGACTGGCCTTGAACTCATTATATAGCCCAGGCTGTACCCGAACTCACATCAGTCCTCCTGCTTCAGCCTCCTGAGTGCTGAGATTGTAGGCATGCACCACCACACCTAGCTTGGGTCTCTTATTTAAGGAAGAACTTCCTTAATCGGGCCTTTTTTTTTTTTTGGTATCAGGGATCGAAATAAGGTCCTTACACTTGTGCAGCAGGCGGTAGAACCACTGAGCTAAATCCCTGGCCAATCGGGCCTTTTTTGAAAAAGAGCTGATAATCAGAATTTCTAGAACTTCTTGCAGTAAAAATTTTTTTGTATTTCTTTTCTACCTACCTACACTAGTAAGTTGTTGTCTCCTAGATCCTAGTAAGTTTGCTATGATTAAATGATGCTTTTAATTTCCGCATCTACACAGACCTTCTTTTTTGGTTTCTCCAAAACAGTATTCTCTTCTTCCTGTGTGTCATAAGAATCCCTTTTAGCTTTTGTTTCTTCCTAATGGAATAAATGTGGGAGCTCGATGCATCCTCTACGAATAGAATGCTGGATCCGGGATTTCAATCCTTGGCATTTAGGCCTATCACTGAGGGGCCTATATTTGCTCATTTTCACTCCTTCTACAAAGGCACTGGTCTGCTTTATGACAGAGGGCTTAATGTTTCTCCATTCTATTGTCCCATCCATGTTTGGTCCTGTTTACAGGGTAACGCAACACAGTCCAGTCCTTGCAGCATATTATACAACATGTGACTTTTGACAGCATGATTAGCCCATAGTTGCTGTAGGTGAGTAACATTGAACTCCTGAACCTCCTGATCATAGATCCACTTGATATTTTCAAACTTACAGTCATACAAGACTAGAGAAAATTCTACAGCCATACTATATTGACGTTTCTGGGGATTTTTCTCTATATTCAGCAACTCATCAATAATTTCTGGCTTCTCCATTCCTTGGCCAGTCAGAAAGAGGATAGCCATCATACATCGGACTTGATGATAAAGGAATGCCTGCCCAGTCACTTCAAATTGACGTAACTGGAAAGGTTCTTGCCATCTCTCTTCACCCAGGCTCTGTCCCACTAGCTGTACTTGAGCAGACAGAATAGTCCTCTGAAAATTGATCACTCCATTCGCTACATCCATTTTACACAAGTTCCTGAAATCATGAGTGCCAACATACCTCTGAGCTGCATAATTCATCCTTACAATATCTAAATCAGCACAAGGGGAAAAATAGTGGTAAGTGCACTCAAGACAGCTGAACCTAGCACTGAAGCTAGGCTCTATAGGGGCCCAGGCCAGTACACAGATGTCTGGCGAGAGTACCCGGTTGAGAATGTGGGTATAACGAATCGCTTTGGCATCATCACTGACTTCATCTTTTAAATTAAGATCTTTTGAATCTTTGCCCCTTGGAAACTGAGACTGCAGGTCAAGAGAAATCATCTGTCCAAAGGCACTAACTCCTTTGTCCATTGGCCCACACCGGTGATAGTTGGATGTCTGTCTGCTTTCTGTCAGTCAAGCCTTGGTCAGAGCCTCAAACTGTTTCTCTTCAATGGTATTGTCTGTGTTTTCCTGACTAGCAAAGCCCTGGTATCCCAGCCCAAATAGGCTATTCTTAGAGCTACATGTCTTTGGCTGTGGGCACTGAAATCAAATGCACGCTGAGCTTTTCCAGATCCCGAAGAATTTTTTTTAACACTTGGGCCTTTGATATTGTTGGATTGTTCTTTTTGAAGTCTTTGTACTTCCTGCTCCAGTTCTTGTACTCTTTTTAGAAGTTTCTCAATCTGGTTTCTGTCAGTGTCTGTTTCAGCCATGGTATGACACCCCCAGGAATCAATGAATCACACAGTTCTTCAGAATGCTGGCTTCGCCGCCTTCTGCGAAGCAGTTCTGATCCCATTCTTAACTACTCTTTGAAGTAATTTGAGGTCTTGGTCACGCCAAGTGATAAAAGAATCCATAGGCTTGAGTTGGTTGTCGATTTTTTCATGTTGCCTCCATTTTCCAGGCATGGCCACTTCCTGAAATGTGATCCGTGTAAATTCCCTAAGCCACCTGTGTTAATGGAGGAAAAAAGAGCTACTTGGAGATGCAGTGACACTGTTTCCACCTTGGCAACAGTGGCAGGTGGCTGTAGGGCAAAGATGGAGGGATGTTGTCCTGCTCACTTTGCTGTGACTCACTGGGTGTCTTCAACAAAGTCTTATTCAGTAGCTGTTAACAGTAGGACTGGGTTTTCAGCTCCACATTCAACCAGGATCTCCAGACATGCTTTGACATGATGGTGTGCCAACTAAAAACTGGTGTGCCTTGAAGCAACTCATGATGTCAAGGTCCTGCTACCTCCAAGAGAGTAATTACATTTCCAACATAGAAGCTGAGATTCAGTCCTCACCATCAACTTTACAGAAGATAAAACAAGGCCTGATATCACCCATCCCCGACTGCCAGTCCAGTGTATATGGTTCCCTCTACACCCAGGGTGGGGAGAGAGCCAACCTCCAGCCAGGCTCCTGGCCTCTCCTTTCAAAGCTTGATCCCTGGTCTCATGGATTTAAAACAAACTATCTAGATCAGTGATTCTAAACTTGGAGCAAAACATGCCCCAGGGACATTTAATGTCTGGAGACATTTTTGATTGTCACAACTAATGTGTAGAGATCAGGGATGTTGCTGAATATCCTACAATGCCCAGAACAGCCCCCACAACAAAAAATTATGTAGTCCAAAATGTCAGTATTGCCAGGCATGGTGACATATGCCTATAATCCCAGCACTTGGGGGGCTGAGGCAAGAGGATCACTGTGAATTTGAGGCCAGCCTGGTCTACATAGTGACACTATGTCTCAAAAACAAAGAAAAAGCAAGCAACGAAACAAACAAAATATCAGTATCATCAAGGTTTTCCTAAAGGCTGATGACTCCTAAATGTATGTATCAAGCTTTCTAGTTATCTACTGCCAAATAATGAGCCATTGAAAATTTAGTAGCTCAAGGCAATAAGAATTTGCTTAACTCATGAATTTGCAGTTTGGACAGGGTCAGCAAGGAAGGGCTATTTCTGCTCCAGTGTCTGTGGCCTCCCTGGGAGGACTTGAAGACTGGGAAGTGCCAGCTAGGGTACTCATTTGGAGGTGCTCATCCACATGTCTGGCTGTTAAAACTATTCCTCAGCTGGGCCCTCAGCAGAACTGTCAGCTGGCTCATTAGCCTGGCCTCTCAGCATGGCCTGGGCTTCCTCACTACATGGTGCCCAGGTTCCAAGACTGAGCATTCCAAGAGAGACCCAGGTTGAAACTGTATCACCTTATGACCTGTGCTATGCCCTATTTGCCATTATTCATTCACTCACTTATTCATAAACATTTGGTAGATTGCTTACTTTGTGCAAATTGTCTTCTGGTGCTGGGGAAGCAAAAATGAACAGAACACTTAAAAATAACATTCCTGCCCTGTTGTGAGTTTACATGCAAACAAGGCAGGTATACAGCCAATGCATAAACATGTGAAATATATGGTATGCTAAATGGTGAGAAATACAAAAGATAAAAATATAGCCAGAAAAGGAGGCGAGTTTTGGGGTTTCTCCATAGTTCAGTCACAAAGGACTTCACTGATAAGGTGACATATGAGCTGAGTCATGAAGGAGATGAAGATGCAAGCCATGAAGACACCTGGGGAAAGAGCTTTTCAGGCAGAGGGAACAGCAAGTAGCATGAAGACCCTGAGGGACAGTATGCTTGGTGTGTCTGAGGAATAAGGATGGCACCAGGGCTGCAAGAGAGTAAGCAAGGGGTGGCAGGAGAGGAAGGTTCCCCTGCACTGTGCTCATGCACACCCAGGGACCCATCTTTGCCAGCTATAAATGTGAATCTGAGAAGCTAGATTTGTAGAATTACAGAATGAGGTACACAGTGTGGTCAGACTATAGAAGGGAGGACCCTGTGGAGAGTGAAGAGGTGGCACTCCCTCTTGCTGCAGCCTTGACATCTTTCGGGAGGCCGTGTGGGAGGGTAGAGGCTTAATCTCCCTGCCACATCTTACCTACTTGTAAGGTGAAGTCATACTACGCTCTATATCTGATCCCTGGAAGGCAATTTCTTCTTTCTCCACAAGACTGCAGGCTGCTCTTTCAGGTCAGACTGAGGTGAGGTTGGCTGTGGCTGTGTCTCCTTATGCAAAGTAGCCCTTGCATTGGTTTGTGGGAAGTAAGGGGCCTCACTGTGTCCACATTTGCAGTGGCCTCCTATCAGATGGGCTGCTGTCCTGGGCTTGGCCTTGGAAAGAGGTAGATGGAATCTCCTGTGTCAGCAGAGAAGAGTGATCAGATCCGTGAAGGAGCAAGAGAACATGGAGAGCATCACTTCCCTCCTGGGCTACCTGTATTTTCTTCACTCTTGGAAAGATCTGATCTTATCCCTGGCAGGAGCTGGAGTGTTGACACCATCAGGGTGAGGGATGACATGTCATTTGAGAAGCAGATAAGTGGGCCTAAGCGTAGTCAATTGAGAGAGTGAGCATCTCAGCAGAGTGAACAGAGAGGCCCAGGTGCAGTGGATTCGAGTATCTTAATGACCTTGCATGCTTCCACCCTCAGGTTGCCCTGGAGATGCTTTTCACTGGGGAGCCCATTTCGGCCCAGGAGGCCATGCTCCATGGGCTGCTTACCAAAGTAGTGCCAGAGGAGCAGCTGGAAGAGGAGACCATGAAAATAGCAAAGAAGATTGCCTCTGTAAGCCGCCCTGTGGTGTCTTTGGGCAAGGCCACCTTCTACAAGCAGCTGTCCCAGGACCTTAGAACAGCCTACAGCCTCACCTCCAAGGTCATGGTGGACAACCTGGCAATGCAGGAGGGGCAGGAGGGAATCAAGGCCTTCATGCAGAAGAGAAAACCCACCTGGTCACATTGAGCCAGCAGTAACAGAGGAATGGAGGACTGAGTCTAGTAGGGGAGGGAGAAGCACTCAGGAAGCACCCTCAGGCCTCACCTCTGACTCCCAACCACCTCTACTGCTTCCTGCTTGTAACAGAAGACAGCATGCTTTTAGAATGCTGGAGTGGTTTCACAGCATGCGGTTTGAATTAACAGCCATGATTCCATGGGAAAGGATGATCAGTGGCAAGTTAGGGAGCACCCATGATGGGCCAGCTGTGGCAGAAAGCCTGGCATCTGACTGACTCCTTCATAGCGCCTCAAGTGAGGGACCACCCCTACGTACAAGTTGATGATCAGGTGGGGCACGAAGGAAGGATGTCAGCCTGACCCTCATCAGCAATGTCCTCTAAGACAGTCACTTCTTGTAGTTCATGACAGGTGAAATATTTCAAATCTCCATGAGATGTTCATGCTGAAAAATCTTGATTCTACCTGGAAATAATCAGGCCTGTGGCTTTGGAATAATCTTACATGATTTAAATAAATTAAATATTTATAGAGACTAGTCACTTTATCATGCCAACCAGACTGCAAGCTAAGAAAAAAATCAATTAACTCTTTGTATGTCCACTCTGATGGGCATAGGGTGGGTGCCTCATATTCTTTAATGCATGTCCTTGCCCTCCAAGTTACTGTGAAACCAGGACTGTAGGCTAAACCCAAGGATAACAGTGAGAGGTGGGTGGGGGCAGAACACACATCCTGTTCATTAAGGGTCATCTCTTCCACATGCGTTTCTGAACTCTGTTCAGCTTCTGGTAAAGACTCCCAAATAGCATCAGACATTTGAATTCCCCAGCTGAACAAGAGTTTGGATAGGTAATAAACATACTGCTTTTTGGCTTTTAGTCTAATAGGGTCCCCAAAATATTCTGAACTCTTTCTTCAAGCTTACCTACAAAGATTACTTTTTCTTTTTCTTTTTTTTTTTTTTTTTGGTACCGAGGATAGAACTCAGGACCTCATACTTGCCAGGCAGG